TATGACATACCATTACGAAAGGCAGTATGTTTGACTGCAAACAAATACTAGAGGCTGATGCTCACACTCTACCTTATGCTTTCATGTTGGGTATTTCAAAAAGAACAGTGCATATGTTCTTATAGAAAAGATCTGTTGCATACACAAGATCTGTTATGAAAACATACTGAAACCTGCATAAGAGAAAACTTAGTATGTATGCATTTTATTCTTGAATAGCACTCTGAAATACAATGGCATTTTTACCAAGCTATCCATGCTGAAATACCTCATTAAAATATTTCTCAGACACAGGAAAACTCTGCTGTAAGTAACCAACAAACTATGACTACTGATTATTTAGAATGCCAAATCTTTTGACAAGGATAGCAGTGTCAGCGATGTGTTACAAACCAGAAATGTACACTACTCACGGGGGGTGGGGGAGCGGGGTTTAAAAGAAAAAAAAAAGTTAAAAAAAAAAAAAAAAAAAAGGGAACCACAGATTCACATTTTCAGAGAATTGTTCAGAAAACACAGTGTTGCAATAAATCTGGAAATAAGAGAATAATCTAAAGAAACTGGAGACATGTTTACTAAAACACTTAAGACAGTCATCATTTCTCACAATGTATGCAAAGAAATATAGAACAACATGGTAAAATGTAGAGTATTTTAGTTCATCCAAAAATTAGAAGTTCTTTATTTGGGTATAAGAATAATATGAAGCTAGTTTTCCAGCATGTACTGAGGCTTCGTAAACTACAATATTAGAATGAGAGACAGTGTAAAATTAAGGGAAAGGGGGCAAAATGTAGAAGGTTGGTAGAAGTCCTTAAGATGGAATTGCTCCCAAAAGAATACAGAATAGCAGCATCACACTTCACACTGTTTGATGTTCTAGATGCAGGAAAATGCAATGGATGTTCATATGTCAACGTATCCCAGCTTCTCATGAATGTCAATTATTAAATAGTGACCACTCAATACAAATAATTGTATTGCATTGTATTGTATTTCATGGGTTATTAACAGCTGAAATGTCAGTTTTGACCTCTAATATCCTGGAACAAACTGCACCGTATCTTTACCCACTTCTGAAATGAACTGTATCTGGTCAAGTACCTTGACCTGATTTTGACCCAAGATATCCCAGCACCTATCGCTGTGTAAAATCATGTAAAATCAGCTACTAAGCGAATCTGACAAGAAACACAGCAATGCTTGCCTATCTAGATGAGATCAGACCTGAGTCCTTATAAATGATGTACTAGGCATTGTTTTAGCTCCACAGAAAACAGTAACACATTCTGTAATTGGAATTACGCAGTCTTTATTCCATCAAAATTAAAATTAGGGATATGCTAAGGAAAGCTAATTTAGAGACACTGAAATGAAGCATACTTTACAGAAGTATAGACCAAACTTGCAGAATTTCCTGTTGTTGAGATTATCATCATGTGAGGTACTGTGCCAAGATTAGATAATTTGGGATTGGTGTTAGCATGTGAAAGCCATGGTGACCAAAAAACAATTGCGTGCATCTAAGATGTCAAGCATAAACTGATGATCTGCTAAGATCAGAATGAATTTTCTTTTTCATATTCACTGCTGTATACTTCAAATCATTATCTTATATCCTTTGGAAACCTACTAAAGTCAGTTTACCACTCATCACGCAAAAGGCTGAACACATACACAGAATTTGATAATTTCAGGGCCTTATTTAGGTGCTCCTATAAATTGTTTTTAAGTCTTCCAGTGAATGTCACAATATATCGGACGAGGTTTCTACAAACCAAGTAAGCTAGTTTTCTGACAGGAGATTTTCAACATAATATTTATTCACCGTTGGTAGTAGCACACAAGTCTTGTGTCTTGTGCTATTTACATTTTATTTAGAACTGTTACACTTGAGATTTTAAGTACCTTGGAGATTTTTGCTTAAATCAAGGGAAAAAAAAAACATATTTTATTTGTGTGATAAAACACGATACAAATCCTGCTATAAATTATATGAGCATAAAACAAAGCTAACACTTACTTATACAACATGAAAAAATTTTGGCCTATATTTTCTCCAAAATAAGTAACCCTCACATAAAGTGTAATTATGCAGTGGAAAAATACCAAAAGCAAATACCAAAAAAAGCATGAAAGCTCATTACATACTTGCAACTCTAAACAGATTCAACAGGTTCTTCAACTAACCATGCACATCTAGTAAGATGGAAATAGCTTAAAGCCAAAGAACATCTAAAATAATAACCCTGTAAAAACTGCAATGACCTTAAATTCACGTCATCTATTAATTTCTCTTGTTATTATGGCATTGCATAAAGGACTGAAATGACTCCATCTGGAACATTTCGAACAAGATATTGGAAATATCCAGGGGGAAAAAGGATAAAGAGAACAGTAGGAATTTCAGAAAATGCTAATAAGAAAAAATAGGTCTCAACAGTTAAAGTCTATCAGCCATAAAATACTTTAGAATACACAACATTCACTGAAGGTATATTTGAAGTATACACCAAAAACAGCTATCATAAAAGCTATCTGAAGTGCTTATCATCAGAAAAGAATCATCTAACCATGCTGTCCAGTGCAGTTACAGAATACTAAGGTAACAGGCAAAGTTTTACCTATAAATACCTGTTATTCACAAAGTCATAGACCTGGACAAAAAAAATCTCTTTAATCTTACCATCTGCTGTATGATGTTCCTCTGCCTTTCTTAAGTAAAGGAAAAGCCCATCTCTCTCTCTCAGTGGCATTCTGGCAGATCACTTTTCTCGTTCCACCTCTGAGTTCCTGCAATTGTTAAAATAATTTTGAGATTTCTCATGGTTTAAAAATGTCATTCAATAGAGCATAGGAGAAATTCTGAGTCACTGAAACCAGTATTCAAAAAATCAGGATTTGATATTGGTGATCGCTTTCCTTCCCCTTTGTCAATATTACTGATTTTTCTCTTCCATCTCTCCCAGTTTTCCTCCTTTGTTCTCTTGCCTGTCTATCCTTACTTCTACTGCAAACTCATTCCTTTTTGTGAATGTTCTCTCCTCCTTTCTCTCCTCCCTGCTTTCTTTCTCTATGATGCCGCATGCATGGAAAAACTCCCCAAATACTTCTCATATTTATAACCCTCAACTGATAGATGTTGCTCTACAGGAAAGATGACTCTCCTGTGATTTCTATTTCCATACAGATGCATCTGCATTTTTTATCTTCTATACCTGCAGAAATTCAGGCAGGATCTCAACTGTTCAACTTGCTGCATCAGTAACCATTTTCACAGCCTCTCACTATTCAGCATTAGGGTCTGCCTTAATAAGGTCACTTTATTTGTCTCTGTTGGAAATGAACTCTGTTAAAACACGTGTTCACCAACATAAAATATGTATTGGTTATCCCATTGAAACTGAACAAATATGGTGGGTCCATACGTCTATTTTAACCCTCTTCTTTTCCAAATTATCCTTTATTGTGAGGTCTCTGATTTTTATTGTGTTCACTAGACCTTCACATATTGCTCCCTGTTGCAAGGGATAGCCTACCAGGGATCACAACAAGACTAGCACAGCTAAAACCTCTGTTGTCAAACAGTAACTGTGTTGTTCAAAATATTTGTATTAGAAAGGTAAGACATTGATGCAAAACATACATTTCAAATGGCAACAGTATACAAATGAGATTCTCCTCAACGAGTAGGGTTGAGTGAAAACACTTTGGGAAATTCTGTCCAAAATGAGCTATTGGCCGAAGAAAGCTGGGAGGTAAGAGACCACCGACTTTTTATGTGCCAAATGGCTTTTAGTTACTTCCAGAGGCGCAAGGCCCCCTGCACACCCCTCCAGCTGTGGACACAAGTGCCCTGCTCCAGCAGGGAAGGACACTACCGAGAGCTTCTGCTGCCATTTCACTCCCAGGGGGCTTTGATGATGAGCACCGGCAGAAAGTCCATCACCAGAGCCAAGGCCCACAGGCAGTCCCAGCAGCAGACGGCCCTGTGGCGCAGCCAGGGGACACTCCAGCTCCCTTCTCCCCTCAGCAACCACCAAAACACACCCCGGGCACCACGCTCCTCTGGAAAGCCTTCGCCAGGCCTTAACCGCCACCCTCACCTCCCGGCGGGAAGCTGGGTGTGAGACAGCCGCCCTTTTCGCGGGGAAACCAACAAAAATAAAGGGAAAACACGTGTGGCCAGGTGCCGGCCTCGCTCCTCCGCCAGCGC